TTATATTTATTTAGATCTACTTTATATTTATTTAGATCTACTCTATATCTATTTAGATTTAATTTGGATCTAATTAGATCTATTTTTCCATTTTTTTTATCTCGTTAGATTTAAATTAGATCTAATCCATTTTTTCTCGGGTATTACATTCAACTCAGAGATTGTGTTTATGTTTTTATCGTACATAAACAATGCAAATGTTGCGTTGCGCAAAAATAAAAATTTTGCAAAACATTTAAAATTAATATTTGAAAATGAAAATATAGACAGAAAATAAAAAAAAGAAAAATAAATACAGAAAATTTATAGAGATCTGTGTATGACATTGTAGGTAGGTGTGTGATTGTTGCATTAATTATTTATTTTAATTTACATTTGGCCAACAAATGTGTACGTGTTATAGATATAAAACGTACAAACGTTTGACGACGATTTGTCGGCGAAAGTGCAAAGCGGAAGCCGCGGGTTCCTCGCCGATTTTTGCCGAAGACATTGAGGATTTGCATTTTTATGAGAGAAAAGTGAGAGAGACGCTTTGCTTGCTGAAATGCAATCAGGATTATCGAGAAATCGCAGGTGCGGGAGCGTTCAAACGGCTCCCGCAAGCTACGGAGAGAAAATTTATCGACTTTACGGTTTACGAATATCTTCATGTCTGCTACTCTCAGGTACGTAAAGAAATGCAATAACAGCGATTAGAGAGCTTTCAGACGAGAGAGATTCAATAAAAAAAAAGAAAATTGATTTCCTATTGGATGTAATTTTGCGTCATTTGGATTCTTGTTTTTCTTGTATGTGCGTACGCGCGTTCACCTAACAAAGATAAACAACTACGAAAATATCATATCCCCTCGAATTCTAATCTGGTGGATTACGTAATTTTAGCACAGCAGATACCACAGCGACTTGTAGTTGTTTCGTAAATCATGAGTTAAATTGACTTTTGCCTGACCTTAAGAAGAAACTGATACGTGCGTCGTTACATTAATTCGTTAAATAGCGTAGCTCTGTTTTTTTGAAAATTTGCGTGTTGTTTTTTTATACAAGTCGAAGGGCGTGCAAACGTTGATATTGACAAATAAATAAAAAAAACAATTTGTCTTTAGATATGACGTGTCCTATTTGTAATCAAAATCGAAGTTCCGTATTTCCGGAAAAACAATCGCGGAAAAAAACTAACGTTATCTATATATATATACAGGGTGAAAAAAAGTACCGGAACACTTGAATATCTCAGAAAATATAAGTTTTACAGAAAAGTGTTTCATACAAAAGTAGTGTGGTTTAAAAAGATCTCTTTACCGATTGTATTGCTGTTGATCTTGGATTGCGCCGCCAAGGTCAGATCAAGGTCACATCGATTTTTTTTAACGGAACTCCTTATTTTTTATTGCAGATTCTTATAGCCTAACTCAAGAGCTTTCTGAAACACCATAACAAAGTTCATTTTTATTAAGTACTTTTTGACTTATGAGGGTTGAATATTAGAGTATTGCCGGTATTAGCATCATGTATTGGCGTTATCAGTCATTTCAAATGTTGCTTTATCCAAAAAAAAACTATGTTGAATAAGAAGGTTCTTTGCCAATTTTGACATTTTGAACAATTGTTGTGATGATATCATGTACAAAAGGCAAACATTAAATGCATTAAATCCTATTTAGGCAATTCATCGTCCTTCTAAATTTTAACGCGTCTTAGGGCCGTAGTGCGGTAGTGACACTTTTCCGGACATGGGTCCCTATACTCAAATGTTTTCTACTGTTGCACTGAATAACCCTTAGAAGTTTGATCCCATAGTTCTGAAACACCCTGTATATATACATATATATACTAACTATACTATATATAGTATAATATATATACTATACTATATTTGAAAATGTATACTATGTATACTATATATATATAGTATATATATATATATACATATATATGTACAGTGAAAGACTTCGAGATATTAATTAGAAATTGAATATTATATGCACGAATATGACATTGTACTTAATATTTACGTGAAAAAATACGATAATCTCTCTTTTAAATGTATAACATCGCTTTTGCAGTATAAGTATAAAAAAAATAATAATACGATAAATAACATACCTATAATAAAAAATTGTTTTGTACACATTTGATAATTGTTTTTACAGAAAGAAAAATATCAAGATGCGGCGAACGCTGCTTTTACCTTTCTGTCCAAACATCCCGATCATGAGATAACCAAGAAAAGTCTTAGATTCTATCTCGATCAGCCTGGCGTGGCTGTTGAAAAAGTCGTGAATTTGGAAGCAGCCCCGTTTGTGCAAATGTACTTCCGGGGAGTCAGAGCGTACGAAGATGAGAATTACTCGGAGGCTGTGGCCGAGTTCGAGAACTCCCTCGAATCTTACATGGAATCCGAGGAAGAATGCAGGATTTATTGCGAGGGGCCCTTTGATCAAGGATGGCACCTCGACTTCACTTCTTCCGTAGCAAGTAAAGATTATCGAGATATCAATTTTAATCGAGAAATTGCCACGACGTTGTGTCATCGCTAATCGTCGTCACTCGTCAATGTTTTTTTTTTTTTTTTTGTTATTTAATTATTTTTCTTCAGATCATTTTACATTTTGTCTGAAATGCAAACGTGGATGCTCGCTCAAACTGAACAACGTGAACGGCAACTTCCAAAGCGATTTGCTTAGAAGCCACTACAATTATCTGCAATTTGCTTATTACAAACGTAAGTCTATTTTTTTTTAATTATACCTTTAGCACTCTGATTGAATAAACTAAAATCACAAGTTTTGAGAAATGTAAACAAAAGGATGTAAACAATATCTATTTTAACAATTAAATCTTATTAAAGCTCGATACGTTACTAAACTACGAAATATATTTAGGAATTGATATTCAATTCAAAAAACTCGCGCGTAAAAATTTACACGCGAACAAATATATATATATGTATATATATATATATATACACCGATATATACCGATATATACCGATCGCAGGATGTTGTGCGGAAAACTGTGTATATATATATATATATATATAACGCAAACAAATATATATATGTGTGTATATATAAATATATATATATATATATATACATATATATATATACATATATTTATATATAT